CGGCCGGCCAGGGCGGCGCGGGGAGCTGGCGGGCGAGGCTCCGAGGGCTCGCGGGCTCCCGGAGGGCTGAGGGCGCCGCTCTCACCGTCGGAGTTGGTCTCGGGGTCGAAGCGCTGGCCGCAGCCCCGGTTGTAGCACAGCAGCGCCATTTCCTTCTCCCACCGACGCTGGCGGAGGCAGCACGCCGGGAGCCGCAGGACTACCAGACCGCAACTGTTCTGCGGGGAGGACCGCTCACACAGCCAGGGCGGCTGCCGACTTCCGGAAACGGCCGGTTCCGCTTCAGGAACCTTCGCGAATTTTCCGGTCGCGCAGGCGCAGAAGAGAGGGGAGGAGGCGGAGGAAGCGACGGCGTCGTGACGTATGCGCTGGCGTCGCGCCGGATTGGACGGAGGCGGCCGTGCGCGGGTCGCGGGGAAAACCCGGTCATGTAGAGGAGGTGCTTTAACAGAGAGGAAAAAGTACGTGGGAGCCGGCGCCCTGCCAGGCTTGGTCTCTACTCACTGACACTGCGTCTCGTGCGACGAAAGTGTACTACTCTCCTCGTTCACTGCTCCTAGCCTCCTTTGGGAGGCTGTAATTACTTACGGATGTTGACCTTTATCTCTTAGCTGCTTGAGAGTAAGTGCAGAACCGTGTATTATTTTCAACTCCTCTGCGCAGAATGTAGGACGTTAGTAAATCAGAGCAATCGTGCACGGATTTCTGTGTGTGTGTGTGTGTGTGTGTGTGTGTGTGTGTGTGTGTTCGCGCTCGCGCGCGCAGACGCGCTACCACTACCCTTGTCTCTTGAGCACTGAAGATATGCAGGCATCTGCTAAAGTTTAAATAACTGAACAATTGCGATCAAATCACGTTGAATATATAAAGTACCTAACAGTAATGGGTACAAAAGAAAAACAAGGGTCAGGTAATTCTGGAAATGGTTACAGTTAACTCCAAGATCCTGGGGAGATAGTCGATGGTCAGATTAACTCCTGCTCAACGGATTTGTCAGTACTCAGTTTTGTGCTCTGGAACTCACAGTAAAATTGCAAGTACTTTATAAAAAGTACAGTAAGAATTAACAGGCAGTTCAGACAACACTAACTCCAGTTTCCCAAACTTGGGGCATTTGCAAAGAAGCACTTTTGGTAAGAGATGATATTGAATACTCTTAAAATAGTATTTGTAACAGGCAAACAGAAAGCTGTACAATGTTTCTAATGACTTGTAGTGGTCAGTTTGTTAGAGAACTGCTCACAGTCCTCCCACCTCAACAAAAAAGAGTTTTCCTTTTTCTCTATGCCACTTCTCTCTGTCCTAGAACTATCAAAGCTTTGTGTAGTGATCCCGACATAGATATATAAAACGTTGTTTCCTTCATTTAACCTAACATGAATACTTCATTATATTTCATAAATATTGTTCCAAAGTATTCTGTTGAATATGTACTGTAACTTAATTTTCTTTAATAAACCAACTCTGTCAACTGTATCTAAGATTCAGTGACCAATTTATTGTATATTGGTTTTCTTTCCTTTTCTTTTTCTTTTTTGAGACAGGGTCTCACTATGCAGTTGAGGCTGGCCTTGAGCTCACTTTGTAGCCCAGGCTGGTCTCGACCTCGCAGCTATCCTCCTGCCTCAGCCTCAGTGCTGGGATTACAGGTGTGCCCCCTCCCCCCAACCCCCCCCCCCAGGCCTGGCCTGGTTTTCTTTTTTTAAAATTGCCCTCTTAGGATAATGTTTGAGAGGTAATAGTACTGGAGTAAAGAGCATAAACCTTTTTAAAGTAAGTTTAAGATTTTTAAATATATGTATATATATGCATATGTATTGCCAGTTGCTTTCCAAAAGATCCTAGTTTCCACTTTCATCAGGCATCGTATTAACAAAATACCAAAGTCAGTAATTCCACTATCCATCAGTATATACTGAATAGCTAAAATAACCCTTCAGTAAATTGATTTTTGATGTCCTATCTCCAGGCATTTATTTTTTTAAATTTTTTTTTATTTTAAAGATAAAAGAACTGAAACATATTAACAGACACACAGATATAAATAAAACAACAGAAAAACAAAAGCAATACAGAATTTCAGATAAAGTGATCAGAAATTAACAATGGTTGTTGTACTGTACATTGTTATCTTCAGGTTAGTTACTCAGATAAACAAATATAGGCCTGTAAGGTTGATCAAACAATTAAGCATTAGCTGTTGCTTTCAGTAACACAATAGAAATTAGTAGTACAAGTATCTTAGCTGTCTTGTTGTAGTAGATTGATGAGTAGTGGTCAACTTATAACCCTCAGATGAACTGAGTAAGCGTGGTGCTGGGTGTGGGAGGCCCACCTGGGGATTGTTTCCAGCAGCATAAGAGGCAGAACTGGAAAAGGAGGCTGTTGGGAGCTGAGAGAGGCCGTCAGGAGCTGGTAACAGCTGTAAGGAACTGTTGGTTGTTTTGAAGGAGCTTGTCATGCTGGCTTTTCTGATGAACTTGGCTGTTTTCATCCTTTGAAGAGCTCAGGACCTTGTTGGCACTGAGAATGGCTTCAGTTCACTTTAGGGGAGCTCTGGTCCTCACTTTGAGCATTGCTTCCTGGCTCTGGAGGGGAAGATGGTACACTGCCAGTCTCTGGGAGAAGCTTGCTGCGTTGGCTTTCCTGATGGGAACTCGGCCATCTTGATCATTGGAGGAGCTTGGGACCTCACTATTGCTGAGGATGGCTGTGGTACCTTTTGGGGGAGTTGTGGTTCTTCTGAGCATTGCTTCCTGGCTCCAGTGCAGATCCCTCAGGCTGCTAACACAGGTCCTTCATCCTGCTGGCACAGACTTTCTAGATTCCACCACTGACCTTTGGGCCTTCCCAGCACAGATCCGTGAAACAGGCCTGCATGAGATTGTTATGGACTCTGGGCCTCCAGCTGGACTCATGCAGGACATTTCCATGGGATCCAGGCCCTTTGTTATTTTCCTTGGTCTTAGTGTGTGGACAGATTTCCTGAACCCTTTTGTATATCATTCTTTAGGTGACTATTATAAATAGTCTTACAAAATATGTGTCCTGTATTGTTCCCCTTGCAAAATAAGCGCCAAACCATAACACTTGTGGTTTTTCCTCATCTTTCTTTCTTTTTTCCTTTCCCTCATCCCAGTTGTTCTTTCCTTTTGAGCAGTTTCTTTCCCTTTCACTGTATCTATTGTGCCTTTTAGATTTTATTTCCTCTTTCAGGTTCTTACTCTGGGGAGACAATACAGTATTTACACATGCGGGTCTGATTTATTTCATTTATGAATATGGTCTCTCTAGATGCATCCATTTACATATAAAAGCCTTCTCCAGGCATTTAAAAGATATAGATGTTAAAAAAAAAAGAATTAGGCTGAGGCTGGAGGATGACGTGAACTGTGAGCTCAGTTTGACGCCAGCCTGTGCAACATGGTGAGACCTATCTAAAAACAAAAGAGGAAAGAACGAAAATATGAAGGTATAGTATATATGAAGTTTGTCCTTTCTATATTTTAATGAACTATAAAATATAATCATTCTTGTGATGAAAGTATCGGTTAGAAAAAATGCATTTTTTTTTTTTTTTGCTGTACCTGGGATCAAACGCATGACCTTGCGCTTGCCAGGCAGGCATTTACGCCACTGAGCTATATCCCCAGCCCTCCAAAAATGCATTTCACTCCCATCTCTCCACCTTTCTTACTGTGTGTGCTCCAGTACTAACCACAACTGAGAAACTTTTGTTATATATATAATTTTTTACAGGCCTTAAGTGCAGCTTTCCTTACTCCCCCAGTCCCCCAAAACATCAAAAGTTGCTTTAACTTCGGTCATCTTGTTTATTGTTAACAGGAGAATTAAATATCTTAAAATAATTGTCAGTTCTTACTGGAAAATTGATTATTATAATTTCATTACTTTTTCAAAATTTTAATTATTTCTCAAAAACAATTTTGATGGGAGAAAAAGTTGTGCCTATTTATAAAAATGAATTCAGCCTTACTATTTAAATTTTGTAGCAGTTAAGAGTTTAACCAAAATGGAAAGATCACTCTAGAGTGATTATTTGTACTTATTTTCCTAAGCATATATGTACAGTGTTACATTCGTGTGTGTATGCATGTGTCTGCATATGTACAAGGGGTGAGTAGAGAAATACAGTGCATGTTTATATTTAAAAATAAAAACTTACATAGTAAAGGGCACATTGCCAAGAATGATGTCATAGGTGTTTGAAGCAAGGGGGAGTATTTTGAGCGGGATTAATGATAATGTGTTTTTTATGGTAATGTATTTATTTACTTAAATATTGATCATATTTTATGATCACCCATTGTTGATCAAATGTTTATAGCAATTTCTGTCACATCAGCACGTGTCTGGATCTGGCTCCCAGTGAGTTCTTGCTCTTCCTCAAAGTCAGAATGATTGGCAAAGACAAACATTTGGTGATTTATGCAGCACAACAGCACAGCAGTGCAACTAAAGGCACTTGTGGAAGATCACCTGGGCGACTCTCCCTGAAGGAGGAGCAGTTGTCTCCATTTTGGCAAAACCTAGCTCTATTTCCATGTACTGATGCGTGTAGAGCTGGCTGGGACTTTTCCTTATCCCTTCAATTGGCTTTAAGCAATGCAAATCAGTCCAGCCAAGGTGCTGATATGTAGTCTTTGAAGGAAAGTCAACAGTCTTTTTCCCGTCCCCCTAGCTGCCAGATAAATGGTGTTAGCCAAGGCCAGGCGGGATGGACAGCCCTGCTTCTGCTCCATGCTGTGGGGCTGAGATCCTAAGAGGTTATAGTTTAGGCTGGCCTTGAACTCATTATATACCCTGGCTGGCCTCAAACTCATGGTGCTCCTCCTGCCTTAGCAGGGAGTGTGCTGGGATTATAGATGTACACTATCACTCCCAGCTATATTTATTGTTCTTATTCACCAGACTACACATTACTTCCTTGAGGGATGTACACTTCTGTATCTTTATGGCTTAAAACAGTACTGTTCAATAGAAATACAAATATGAGAACATATATAATGTAAAATTTCCTAATGACCACATTGAAGAAAATCAAGACAAAGGTGAAATTAACTTTAATAGTACATTTGTCCAATATATCAAAAATATTTCAATAGTCAGTGCAAATGTTATTGAAATTTTTTGTACAGTGTCCAGTATGTGGTGTATATTTTAGGCTTATAGCATTTCTTAGTTTGATCTAGTCACATTTCAGTGTTCAGTAGTCACAAATTACTGAGAGTTACCATATTAGGCATAGTCTACCAATCAGTATCTATTTGTCTTAGTTACTTTTCTCTCATTGCTGAGACAAAATACCCAAACCCACAAGTTAAGGGAGGAAAGGTTTATTTAGTTCACAGTTTCTAGGGGTTTCAGTCCGTATGAGCTGGCTCCAAGGCAGGGTGGCATGGCATACAGGCACTGCAGAGGAGAAACAGAGGAGAAACAGCTCATGGTGGGCAGAAAATAGCAAAACAGCAAGAGTGACCACAGCTCTTTTTATTTCTTATATTTTATCCAAACTACTTAGGGTGGGTAGTGCTGACATCCATAATCCTAGTGCCTTTCATCCTTGCATTGCTTCGTGAATCAGTTCCATTGTCAAACAC